TGCCTGAGTAAACAAAAGCAACTCAAGTTCATATTAATAGCATCCATTAAGAATGCTTAGTCATATTTATCATTATCTTTTGTCTAATCCTTCACCTTAGTGTTGTTATTGTTGCTGCCATTCCCACTGTAGTATCCCTTGAGGGCCCTGGGAAGGTAAACCGGAAGCAGAAACCCAAAGAGATTGAAGGCCCAAAAGGCCAAATTGGCCACGGCGAGCGCGCGCCCCGCGAGGAGCCGCCGCCCTGCCCCGTGCTTGCCCTCCGCCTTCCCGACCTCGCTCCCCAGCCAATCGACGATGGTGAATAGCCGCTTGGTGTTGTAGAAGATGGGCACGAAGGCGCGCATCGGCAGCGAGAAGCGGCCCGAGAAGGTGACGCCCTCGAGGAAGACCTGGGCGGCGAGGAGGAACACGTGCGGGGCGGCAGCCCTGATGCCCTCCTTGTCCCCCGCGAGGACGCCGTCCAGGATGTAGGCCACGGGAAGGAGGAGGCCGACGACGGCGCCGACGGAGACGTAGGCGGCGAGTAGGCGGTTGCGGGCGCCGAAGACGGGCGGGTCGGCAGCCGCGCCCGGGGGGCCGAGAGGCGGGAAGGCGGTGGCTGAGAGGAGGAGGAGGTAGACGAAGGAGAAGAGGACGAAAGTGAGGTCGGTGGCTGGGACCATGCCGCTGGCGGCGAGGACGGCGACGACGGCCAGCGCGTTGACGTGGCGGAAGGAGAGGAACCGGCGACGGCGGGGGGAGTGGGGCGGAGGGCGGGTGAGGTGGTCGTTGTCCTCCTTCGGGAGGCGGATATCGCCGCCGCCGGACATCGTGCGCCCTCTGTCGGATAGCTCCTTGCTGATCGAAAAATCGGATTTTGATGGTAAGGATCGCACAGAAAGCGGATCGGTGATAGGGCAAATCGTAGGAAGAAAGGGAAAAGGAAGCTCTCTTACGTGATCGGAATGAAACGGCGAGCAGATGGAGGAAGATGTGGTGACGGAGAATTAGGTCTGCCGGCTGCGTCGTGGAATCGTGGGGACTTGCGTTGTGGAATCCACAGGACTGCGTGGTATATCCTCGGCCAAGCACGTTTCGTTGACTATAGCCGCCAAATATACGGATATAATTAAACTCGTTTTAAATAGTTATGCATCAATATAGTCGAACCATTTTCCTACAAAATATCAAGTATTTCTTTTTTCATTTTATTGGCGCTTTGCTCTCAGTAGGAGAGCCTCATTTCTTGTCATCTTCACGTGTTTTTAATCTCCGTTTTTTTATTCCAAGAGTCCATAATTCAACATCAACTACTAACGGAAGCTCAATTAGTGATGAAAAGGGTAGCTTAACCTCAATAACAATTTCTTTTAATGATATCAAAGATATATACTTTATATATATGCTATAGATTGATTGATGAATATATTTTTCTCAAATTTGTTTCATGAAAAATATATAATAGAAAAAAAACTAATATTTGTTATCATTCGATCTATCGTCAATATATCGTTGTTGTATACATTAAATAATCTTCGCTAAAGAGAGAACAAATGCTTTCGTTCTTTGGGAAAAAAATGATTAACATAAATTTATATATAAAAGAGAGATTATAAAATATGATAATTATATAATTTTTCAATCAATAAAATATTTATATAAATAATTTCATAATAATTATAATATATAAATTTTATAATTTAAAAATTTAATAATATATTATTGAAATATCAAAACAATCATAATAACCTTATCATGATTTATTTTCCTCGATAATATTGTTTCTAACACTGTTTCGACTCCGTGTGCCGTCTCCCTTCTTCTGTTTCGCCTGCCCATTGCCTCTCTCTTCTTCGTTCTTGTCCTCGGAGAGAGTGAAGGAGCGAAGAAACAAGGGGGCCGTCTCTTCGTTCTACAGATAGAGGAGGCGAGGGAAAGGGCTGAAAGGTGTGTTTTCTATATTTTTCTTCCCAACCTGTTCTTGGCTTCAATAGTTGCATCTCTTTTGGCGCATAGGTTTCCTGTTCCGTTGTCCTGTTCTTGGTTACGTTCGAAAGAAGGATGAGAATTCATGTTGTTCTTTAGTAGCGAATTAGGCCATTATGGACAAATGTGTAGGAACTTTGTTCTCGGATTCTAGTCTTTCTTCTAAACAAAATTTTGGATCCTGACGGATTTGCTGTTTCTAGGGTTTATAGGAGGAGGGTTGTGGTGATGGCGGATCCGGCCGCATACTTCATGCGTCGGGAAATCGCCGACCAAGACGCCGGTGCGCAACTCGGGTCGCAAGTGGCTGCACCACCTGACAACCGGTTGAATTTGGCCGGGCCTTCCTCCGGCATCAGATCGTCTGAGTTTCAAGTGGAACCACTGTCGGGAGTCCTGTCATCTCATGGTGGTGGAGTCAGCCGGGGGGAGCTGGTGAAAAGAAGGAGGGGGAGGCCGAGAAAGTACGGTCCGGATGCGGCCGGGGCGGTGGCATTGGCTTTCTCGCCTACATCTTCTACTGGTCCTGCTCTGATGTCTGGCGGCCCAGATGTTGCTACTCCTAAGCGGCGCAGAGGGCGTCCGCCGGGAACCGGGAGGAAACAGAAGCTGGCTTCACATGGTGAGTTAAAACGTTACACCTTTGACAACGGGGAAAAACTATTCTTTACCGATGAAAGAATTGATATCATGACCTCAATTAAATCATTAGTCTTATTATTTTGATGCCAACACCATAGAAGAATGGTGATGAAGAGACAAAAGTGAGTTAGCAAGACAATAGGAATATAATGCAGATTTTATTAAACAATTATTTGTTCTGGATACTGTTGTTGTTTAATTGTCTTTTCTGGAATTTGTGCAATTTGTATGGCACTCTATATGAGTCACATGGTGAAATATAGGTACCTTGTAGGTTATTTGTTCCCAATTTTTGGTATATATAGTACAATATTTTCCATTAAATTTTAAAATGGTTCCTTGAAAAAGACGGGATTAGTTTCTGATGCCAGTGTTTGTTTTTTTTAATCATTATATTATTTTAAATGTAATGCTGATGAATCAACTTTTACAATGTAACTTTAGCTTTTTATTGAGGTACTACCTGCCTTTTATGATTCTTGACATTCAACAGAGAACTGCCTCTGCTATGGGTTTTTGGTTTCAGAATATATTCTTAAATTGTGAAGCTTATTCACTATTCACACGTCCCTTTTAACTATTCATGACCCCCTTACTATTGACAATCCTTTAAAAAAAAAAATAAAAATATTAATTTACTATTTACAATCTAGTATTACTGATTTTATCTTTTTTTCTTCTCTACAACCCCTTATTTCATCCTTGCCGTTGACGTTGATGCTGTCACTACTGACGCTGCTCGCTGCCATCGCCGTCGTCGCTTGACACTGTCTAGCCCCACTCGTGGCCCTCTCGACGCTAGTTATCCATGGAGAGGAAGAAGGGGAGGAGAATGAGGAGGAGGAGAAGGAAGAATAAGAGGTGGGGAAGAAGAAGAGGAGGTGGAGGAGGAGGAGGAAGAAGGAGAAGAAGAGGGTATTTACATCCATTTGCAAAAATATAGTTTAGAAATATAAAAAAAATTAAAATGTATTGTAAATAGTAAAAAGGGGTTACAAATAATAATATCCTAAATGATCTATCAAGGAATTGTGTTCATACTTTGCATTAACAAATGTGAACTACGGTTGTTGGCTTTCACCCACATACCAGTTTAGATATATGTTATTTTACGCGTTGATATTCGAGCAAGCATTTAAAAGTTGGAGGCCCAGTTCATGTTTTTTCACTTTCCTGTTGGAAGTTGCTTCCCAGTGACATGTCTGCTGTATTAGCATCTTTTCAGTTCTTTATGCTGGTTTACTGTCAATAGTGGGATTTGGCACCCTTGTATTGTTATTACCATTACCTCCAACATAATGTTTATTAGCTAAGCCTCAAAAGATCACAAACTTCGGATGTATTGTGGTCCAAGTGCTAGGAATGTCCTGTCTTCTGTCAGGACTGATGAAGTTTGTGTGGGAACCTGTAGACATGCTTAAGAATTGATTTTCAAGATCCTGATCGTGCAAAATTCATAACTTATAGGCCATTCTTGGACAAAGTTGAAATACATTGTTTTTTTTAGATTGTTTGGTGCTATGGCTTCCTCACCTCGATGATGGGCTTTCCGTGGTCAATGGAGAAACCTTGCATCGAGTGAGGTGCAGATATGAACTTTTGGTAAATCACAATGTACCAAATCATTGATCTGGGAAGAAATTTATTTTCTTAGCTTGGTTCCTTGTAAAACTCTGTGATTTTATATCAAACCGGTGACAACACCATATAGAGCTTGTGCATTTATATTGTCCCACGATTCGAGTTGTGTCTACCTTTTTTGTCCATGAAATGGAATATAATTGGCTTGTACATGAAAAATATTCTTACCTATTCTTTTGAATTCATATAGCTAATTTCTTTTATGCTTTGTTTATGATTAATTTCTATGGTACTCATGATTTTTATTTACTTATTTGAATAATGAATGATTTTGACTGTTATGTCCAAGTCTGATTTCCAATTTGATTACTTTTTTGCAAAGGGGAATGGTTTTCTGGTTCAGCTGGATCAGATCTTATTCCACATGTGATAACAATTGCCATAGGAGAGGTATGATTTGCATCCTCTATTTCTTCTTTTAGTGCTTTGTAACTACTAGTTTGAAATAGCTTGCTAGTTTCTTTACATTTTTGTAAGATACCTAATTGTTCTCTTTGTAGATTGAAGATAGTTGATTGTTATACCTTTTTTATTGTTTCCATTAAGGTTCACCTTAATGGTCCATATCGGTGTACCAACCAATGGTCGATATGGTACATATACGCCCAAAAAAATCAAAAATAGCTTAATTTTTTTTAATAGATTAGGATTTTAAGTTGAAAATAAATATAAATTTAGTATAATTTTAATGAAAATAATATAAATTTGGAAAGAATAGTGACTCATATTTTTTTGGGACTTTAAGAAGTAGCTTTGTGATACATTTCGGATCGTCCTTCCGTTAATATTGAATTATCTACAAAGAAATGATTTGAATTTTTAGATTTTTTTTAAACAACTTAAACTTTAAGATTCAAATGAATCAAGTAATCAATAATGAATATACTTGGTTCTACTACCAAAAAGAATGATAGGATTCAATGGGCGGTGGTTCAAGATCCTCGATCCTATATATCTGTATATCAATTGGATATGTTTATCGGACCTAATCCTGAAATTTATCCCACGACATAGTATACTGATACACTATATGCTATTGCTGCATCATTGTAGCGATGGTCGTAGTCTAATCATCGTGAATCACATGTACTTGAGGCGGCTTTTGAGGTAAGACATGTATTAATGTGAAGCATGGAGAATGTCAGAACTTTTACTTTCACCATTGATCTATTGTTTTATATCATAAGATCGATCACCGTACTGCTGCTCGGAGAAGTATAACCAACTATCATCGCACTATTTTTGGCCATAAGATTCTCAATGATACGACGACTATGAATACGATGAGCTTTGCACTATGTCTACGTCATGTAGGTTATGTTGCATCTGTTCAAAAGCATCCGTTGCCTTCTCCTTCCCCTTCCCCTTCCTCTTCCCCTTTCATGTATAAATTTAACCATTAATTCGTCGAGTTCTATGATTTGAATAGGTGGTAGTATGTAAAATACTGCTCCTTAGTCCATGCAACACCCTCAAATTGTGAGGCACTGCTGTCCACGTCGTTTCCGTGTTTGTGGACTGAGCGGGTTGTTGAATGCGATTGAGAAAGTGTTTCATCACCCGACTCGATTCTTTCCAACGTTACAACTGATGCTACTGCCTTCCCCTTTGCCTTTGCCTTTGCCTTTGTACGTTGGACGGACGACTGTGATGGTCGGGTCACCCAAAACTTTATTTTCAACTTGGGTGTCTCTAGTTCCTCGAGCAGTCTGACTCGATGTTGTCTGGCTCTTTCCGTCACGTTCTAACCTTAGGGAATCTTCCTCTTAATCCTTTCAAATTTGATCTAATCCACAAATCGTAACTTTGTTGTGTTTAGGAAAGTGAAAATATGAAAATGAGAGAAATGTGAGTGAGAACAAGTTTTAGAGAGTTGAGGAGATTGAGAGTGTTATGAGTTGAAAGATGGGAGGAAAGGGTTTATATGGTTCAAATGGTCAATTTGACCGTTTGAAATAGGGTGATCTGAACCCTTAATCGGTAACGGTCGAAATCCGATTGTTACCAATCAGTACAGGTCGGCAATGGTTGAATTTCGACTGTTACCACTCGGTACTGACCTTGTATCGCTCGATACATGGTCATGTTATGGTACCGCCCGGTAGAGGGTGGTTTGCGTATCGGTCCCCTATCGGATTGATATACCGCCTATACCGGGTCTATACGGGTCGATATTTATGTTATGCATTCTATTTTTTATGTTCTAAAGAAAGAACAATGACAAGCTGTAAGGTCCTAATTTATTATCAGGAGAACAGTGAATAATATCTTCACAGTAGAAGTCAAAAGGAATAAATTGAATTGCTCTAGTTCACATGGACATCAAATGTTGTGATTCAGAATGTGGCAATATTGATCATCATCATCATGGTTATCTCAGGCAAATGAGTAAATAGCCATACTGCAGCTGCTGGTTTCAGTAGCATCATGTATTATGTGCCTTTCATCATACATACAACACTTTGCATTTACAGAAGCTTACTGCGATGCAATACCACTATTCCCATCCTGATGTAGTCTTTCTTTCATCCATAACAAACGTTTTTGTAACTCTGCTATGCTTGTACAAGAAATATGATCCATTTTGCAACTGTTTTTTCTTCCTCATGTAATAATGGCATGGGTCTAGCTTATATCATCATCCTCTGAAGCTAGTCTTGGCTGGATTCCTACCAAAGAGGGTTTTGAGCAGGAGGTACATGCCTTAGTGATTTGTATACTCTTCACTGTTTGGCAGGATATTGCAACAAAGATTATGTCATTTTCACAGCAGGGACCAAGGGCTATTTGTATCCTTTCAGCTAGTGGTGTAGTTTCCACTGCGACCCTTTGTCATTATGCAACTTCCGGGGACGCTATCACTTACAAGGTTATAAAATTTTTATTTTGATTCTTTAGTCAGCATACTGGCTTCTCCATGATTAAATTTTCCTTTAATATCTTTGTAAGCACTGCAAGGCCTGATATATCAGATCATCTGGGCATCGATAATGTTGCATTTCTGTTTTCTCATTTTATGTTACAGAAAAGTTTCTGTGGCTCGAGTGTGCATTGGTTATCAATCATGGATGAGCAATAGTGGGAACTTTATTTTTTTTTTCTGTTTTAGGCAAGACTATAAACCAGCAATAACCTTAAGGATAAGTTCATTTTACGGGTAAGTGAGAAAGATTAACGTATACAATACAGTTCGATAGACTGATGATTCCTATACTTATGTTGATCTAAGGCTAAAATTGGCTCTCAGGTTATGGAAGCTGGTAAGTCTTTGACTGCATGCCTTTTAGAGTGAGATGTTATGGTCTGGGAAATAAATCCTAGATACGGAGAACGACTCACAAATGAAGGAAAAAAAATGCAGGCTATGGAAAATGTGGATGTTGAGCAAGTTAAGTGTGATTTATTTAGGAGGTTAGTAGTTACATTGATAGAAAATATTTTAGATGCTTGTTTGGCAGACACATGGTTTGGAGCCCTCTTGTAATAAATTGTCATCCAGATTGCTAGATGAATTGTATTCTGGTATTGGAAAGATAAAACTGAGTGAAATGCTTGATGGATAAATGTGTTAAATAAAATCAAAGAAGAAATGACATAAGTGTCATAGGTCCTCAGGGAATTCACAATTAGAAGAGTGTTTTTGTTTTGTTTGATCATTGTTATTATGCCTCAAACTTCTTTTGTTATATTCTGGTAATATGATGACCTCTAAAAAAGTATTTAGTAGGAATGAAGTTCATGAAAGGAAAATAATTCGCAATGATGCTTTCCATTGAAAAGGACAGGTAGAAGCAAAATTTTGCCAAGGTAAGTTCTGAAATATCAGAATGGATTTCCATCATTAGGTTTAGTTGGCTCAGCTTAGATCAGTTGGATGCATTAGGATTTGATAGCATCGTTGAAAAGTTGCCAAGAACTCATTGGAATCACCTAGTATCATTTTGACTTCTGATCAAGGATTGACTTAATATGTCTAATGAGTAACGGGACTCATCAGAGATCAGTTGGGAACAGGTGAATGCATCATTGAACTGGATCCTTAAATTTGGGTCAATTATGTCCATACATTAATTTGGGATCTGTCCACACCTCAACAATGGAAAAAATTGTTTATCCTTTCCTCTGATCTCTAGTTAATAAGGTGACATTTTGTCTATAGTCCAACCTAAGGAATTGGTTACAAGAGTGGTTTACTTGTACACAGTATCTTTATAATTGAGATGTTAGGAATTTAGATTTTGATAGCCAAAAGAGTATAGTTAAGATGGATTAAAATTTGAAAGTACTAATTTTTGCAGCCGCGGTGTGTCATCCAATTAATAGTTCTTTCTCCTGACTGCTTAATAATACGAATGCAATTTGCTGTGTATATATATATTTTCTTTATGTGTTGCCTTGTGCTCATCAAGTTTATGTGTCATATTGGTCTGAGAAGTTTCTAAACCAAACGCTGTTCATCTTCTTCAACTTATACAGGGTCACTATGAAATACTTTGTTTATCGGGCTCATACATGGTCTCTGATACCGGTGGATCACAAGGTCGAAGTGGGTGGCTTAACATCTCTCTGTTTGGTCTCGATGGCCGGGTAATTGGCGGCAGCGTTGCTGGACCGCTATTAGCTTCGAATCCTGTACAGGTGACCACTTCGTTCCTTATAGACGCATTGTCCTCACGGCATGCAGTCGTGATGATATTATTTTTTTAGATCGATGCTTATCTTCAGACCTTCGTCTGATTTGTTTCTCAAAGGGACAGGAAAACTTGATTTCCTCGTACCAACTTTGTTTCTGCATTTGCCTCTTGCTCCAACGTGTTAATATTCTTATAGTCATTCTTGTCTAGGTGGTTGTGGGGAGTTTTGTTCACCCGGGATCGAACGCAAAGAACAAAGGCATAGCCAGACATGAATCGGGTGCTGAATCCGAACATTGGAACGAGGATGGTCAGCAGAGGATGCCATCGTCGCTTCCGACTCAAAACCTTTCCCCATCTCAAGTAGGAGGATGGTCAAGTTCGAGGCAACTGGACACGGGTGCTCATCTTAACATCGACTTAACCCATGGGTAGCACAGCACCTTTGTTGATAACGCGTAGATTGTGTTGGTCCTTTTTAGCGAGTCTCAGACCTTACGTAGCTAGCACGGTTCCAGTGAGCCCTTGAGTTCGTACAATAGTTGGAAGAGTCGAGTACCTTGAGTTTATTTTTCTATAAAGAAAAAAATTAAAAATTCAGATGCTTAACGGGATTATAAGTTAAGAAGTTTTTTTTCTTTATTCTCCCCTATTATCACCTCCAAATAATACAGAGAAAGAATTTTTATAATAACTATTTATGATCGATTAAAAAAAATTGATTGACGAAAAGGATTGTCTCGATGTCAATTATTTAATAAAAAAATAACTATTTATTTTAAAAAATAATTTTTATAATTTGTTGGGAGTCCCACAACTCTTATACTTCATCAATACTCTGATAACGTTATAACAATCATCTCCCTCGCACTCCCTCTCGTATTTTATAATACCTCATCAACCCCCTTTTTATTTCACGACCTCGCACTCCCTCACATTTTTTATAATCTCTTTAATGATATAAAATATATATTAACCTTTATCGAACTTCGTACACTAAACCTCACCGAGATCACACTTAATAAAAAAAAATAACCCGATGAGATTCCCCTAATATATATCATCATGAATCATATTAATTTAAAAAATTTAATTTCAATAACTTCATATTTATAAAAAAAATTGTTTTTTTATTAAACACCGAATTTTTAAAAAATATATTAATCAACCTAACTTTTCATATAAAAAAAAATTCAACTCTTATGCTTTTTAAAATTGATCAAGACAAATAAATAACATAGATTTAAATTTATTTTTGTAATCACATAAAATTTTATCTTAAAAATATTTACCCCAAATAAAAAAAGTTCTCATTTTACCTCTACAAATAAATAAAATCAAAGTCCTCAATTTACTTCCTTGTAAATACAAAATATTAAACATACAATTACAAAAATATAAGATAAAAAAAATTAAAATTCCGATACCTTAAAGATTTTAAATTTTCATGTTTAATATACACTTTAAATTTTAAAATTTCTCGTTTTCACCAGATTTTTCGACTGTGTAATGACCCATCTGGTTTGCTTCTCATGTTATGTGCCCAATTTGGCCTACTATTATTACACAATGAAGTCTGCAACCGGTGCAGCAACAGAGCAGGGCGACGACGGAAAAAACACAAGCCACACGTATTACCACCAACAGAGAAAGAGAGAGAGAGAGAGAGAGCGCGACGAACACCTCCCACGCCCCAGCGTAGTAAAGGAGAAAGTATGCAACATTAGGACGCCGACAGCCTCTACTCCGTCTCCTCCAACTCCTGCTCATGGATCTCCTCCTGCGGTCGATCACCTTCCGTCTCTGTTACACCAACAGGAAGAGCAGTAATGAGACCTGAAGGTTGGTATGCATCTCGTGATTTCCATCTTTATTGTGTACTCAACCTTTTCTCTGGTGCTCGATCGACGGCGAGGCACGAGACTCGCGTCGTCCGCCAACCCAAGATGGGACGGCACCTCTGAGCCGCCCCATCATACCCAACTTTCCACTCTTCGCATTGGAATCCGTCACCGCCGCCGCCGCCTCCTCTGCCCCCTCCCTCCTCTTCCGTATCGCATCCGATATCACCTCGCACAGTGCCTTGTCCTCCTCTCCAGGTTTCAGCTTCTCCGCCAGCTTCACTCGGACTCCGGAGCCAACACGGACACTGCCACCCTCTGTTGAGCTGTCCCCCTGCTGCACCTTCTCAATCACACACGCCCCCGCCTCAGCCACCGCCTCGTATGGGGCCTTCGCAGCTTCTTCCGATATATTGTGGACTCCACATACTTCGTTCTTCACCGGCGGCTGGTCGGTCACGGTCATGGCCTCGAAGGCCTGGATCACGGGCGACGTCCCTATGTCTTCCCCACCTGCCGCACAACAGCTGCCTGTAACTCGAGGAACGAGAATGATCCAGCTAAATTCAGTCTCTTACTGCATGCTTTTACCTCTTTGGGCTGAAGTGTCCGACATCGGAGCAGCAGGATCCTCTTCCAAGCTCCTGACGTAGTCTTTCAGAGGCGCCTTCTCGACATCTCTCGCCTTCTCGCCACCGGTATGGCCTGCGATTCCTCTTCGTCAACTACGAGTCGTGAGCAGGTGAGACAGAAGGCGTACCAGTGGCGCCGTGGACCGCAGGGTCGTCGAGCCTTTCTTCGTCATCCTCTTCGTAGCCTTCCTCTTCTTCGCTTACATCGCGGTGGCCGTCATGGTTGTCGTCGCCATGGCCATGCTTCTTTTTGCTGATGGTGTCCTTGATCTTCTTCACCTTTTCCTTTACCTTCTCAAACACCGGCTTCTTCCCATGGTGCTCCTCTTCGCCTTCCATGGCTGCGTGCAGTCTGATTAAACAGGAGAAACAGCACCAGATCACTATTGAACGCCATGGACATCGACCGTACCTGCATGCAGACCACGTCGTTCCGGCTCCAGTTCGCGCGCATGCCCGTGCACAGGTGCCACCTCAACGTTCATTGCGAGGAAAGAGATTCCGATGAAAGAGATTGGAATCGAGGCAGAGAGGTATAAATGGAGGAGCAAAGCATGGGGGTGAGGATAGAGTTGCTCGTGTTCTTATGCCACCTAGGGGACACGTGGAGGAAGAGTGGCGTAGTTGGTATCGCTCCGAAGACGTGGCGCGTGTCGGAGGTTTCGTACCCGCTCGAACTGTCATAGATTCATTAGTTGGAATAATTCGACCGAATGGATAAGCATTGATAGTAAAATAAATTGAAATGTAAATTTAATATTTATTTCTCCCACTTCGATCGAATTATCATTTTCTGAAAATTAAAATTAAAATTGAAGCAGCTAAGAACTATGGAGAAATATCCTTTCTGACCAATAATACGCTATCATAATTAAGAATTTCTCTCCTTATAATTTTGTTCTGTTCCTTCAAAGTCACTGTCACTTCCAAAATTATCTTTGTTTATTCTGTGGCTGCAGAAAAGCTCCTCGAAATGCATGGACAAGTTTCTACGACCACCAAAATTATCTTTGTTTTCATTTATGTCTTCTTTTTTCTTTCTAATTCTAGTGTTTTCAATTGCTTATACATATAATTTTTATTTTTTTATATTTTAATTCTATTCGATCGATTTGGTTCCGATAACTATATTTTGAAAAAAAATAAATAATAAAAATAAATTCTTTACCACATAATTCTTCATATGACATCCTATTATTAGCAGTAGAATTTTAAAAATATAAAAAATATTTTAATACTAATTATTTAAATTAAAATATCATATTAAAAAAATTCTAATTTGATGAATATTATTTGGATTTCTAATTTTTAGGGTTTTAAGGGATACTGAAAATAAAAAAAAAATAATTTTTATTATATAGCGTAGCGTTTAACCGTAGACACAATTTGGTTATATGTTATTTAGTGGATGGGCACATCCACTCATATCCGTTTCGTATGACCTTAGCACCACCATTTTGTGTGATCTCACTGTCTCCCGCCCTCTCCGAATCTCCTCCACATCTTATATCGCATCCCCTCCGCCTCTCCCTTTCTCTCTCAGATACATCCTCTTCCTTCTCCCTCCAACCCACTCTGCTTTCATCTACTATGGCCGCCGCCGCCGCCGCCGCCGTCATCCTCGAGCCGCTGGCGGTCCCCTGCCCGTCCCGCGGCGTTGCCTTGGCCTCCGCTCGTTCTCCTCGCACCTCTCGTCGGTCGGGGCTCCTCCTCCCCCGGTTCAGCGGCCTGAGGTGCTCTCCGCTTCCCTCGAGGGTCAGGGCGGCCGCGCCGGCCCGACCGAGGGCCGTCGGGAGTGGAGCCGTGGTCTGCGAAGCGCAGGACACGGCGGTTCAGCGTATGGCCTTCTCCTTCTTGTTCGTTTCTTGTGTTTCATGTGCGTATGCCTTGCCTAGGGTTCACTTGAGGTGGGAGTGGGTTTCTTTGGTTGGATTAGGGTGAAACTAATCTTTGGCTTTTGTCTTTGCTGAAGATGATGAAACTAAATCTATGTGTATTGAATGATCAAATTAACGAGCTTGGAACTTGGAAGTGAGGGTATGGCAGCATTGTTGTTGTGGGTTGTAGCAATTGAAACATAACGTGATCGGATTCACATGTCTCTGCCCTCCAGGAGCGATTCTTGTTATCTACTTTGATGCCCCAATGTCATATGAGGGTCGAGATTTAGGTTTCTTTAGTTCATAGCTTCCGTTTATTCTAGATGCAGGAGCTATTTTCTTTGAACTTATTTTTGGAACCAGTTTTAGAAAAGGTTTCTCTGTAAACATCATAAGTTGGCATATGATAATAATTTTTATATTCTAGATTACTTACTTACCTAGATCGTCCAAAAGATGAGAAAAGAAAGACAAACTAAAAAAAGGGAGGAGATAAATCAGGTTTGATTGGAGATTCCACGAAAAAAATGTGAGATAAATCTTTCACTTGATTGGAGATTCCATGTTTGATCAAGGATTCCACTCTATGAAAGATGCATTAGGATAAAAAAGTTCATTTTTTTATATGACTATCTTATCCCTTGTCATAAGCATAAGAAAGTGCTCTTAGAGTTTGGTAGCATGTGGAACTTCCAAACCCTATGTCATAGGTTCAGATCATACAGTGTGTATTTTGTTTTATTTGATACAAATTATAATAAAATAATTTAACAAAACCAAAAAGTTGAATTGTAACTTGTATTTGACCTCCCTGCAGGAGGTCAATAAAAAAAGAGAATGATATTACTCTATCAAAAGTCCCACTGATTGCCACTTCTGTATTCTGAATACGCGATTCCTGCTAAAGTAATGGGAATTAGATCTAAGATGATTCCGGATAGAAAAACTTTAATCATTTTGGGTTGTTTTAAGAGGACAAAAAGAGAGGTAAGCCCTACTCCTACCTATTAATCTGAAATATCCATGAATCTCGATGGCCATAAGTTGGCAATTGATGCGAGAAAGGCCCTAGAATACCTGGAATCTCAGAAATATTTGTGGAAGGTTACCCATGAAGAAATATTATTTGTCAAAATAAGTATGGAAATATGTCATTTCCAAAAAAGGAAAGAAGAAATGATTGATATAGTTTTATCCAAAGCAAGTTTGACAAGTTTGATTCTCATCCTAGAATGATGTAAGCTGCAATCCTTACCTATGATGCTAAGGAATTAAAGGAGTTCAGTATTATCTTCTCTCCCTTGCTCTTTTATCTATCTTCATTATCGCTACTCATTACTATCGTTTGCTTTCCCTCTCTCTCCCTCTCTATCTTTCCCTACATTCTTAAATTTGCATGTGTTTGTCTTTCATCAATTAGTGTCATCCTCTTTAGTCCCACATGGAAAGTAAGAGAGGTTATGATGGTATATGGAAATAAATGAAGACACTTCTAAGAAATTTAACCTTGAGCATTTTTAGCAATGTAGTTGTAGATAGACATTACATTTGGAAAATTATACTACAAATAGGTTATATCGTGGATATATTATGCGGGAGTCACATCAAGTAATACCTATTATATATTTAACTATTATACGAAAGATAATTCATTGTAATGATGTCCCTGAGGTATATACTATTGTAAAGTTGTTTGTAAATGATAGATTCTGCAAGAGTGATAGATTTGATTGTGAATATATAAGATCATGTTCGTAAAGGCATATACAAATCTTTTATCTTGCTTGTGAATTATAGACTTCTAAAGAACATCATGCATCCAAATCTTGATCTGCTGATCTGTAATCTAATTGTTGAACATTGCTCTATCGTCTTAAGGGTTTAGGCATTTGTTTGAGTTGAGTTTCAAGGGAACCACTTACAATCTAAATTGATGTGTATGCATGTCTAATTTAGTAGGCATTTGATTTCTCTTTCTGCAAGTTCAATTGACCTCCATGAGTGATCTATAGTGTCATGACAATATTCTGGCATGAGTCCTGAACATAAACATGGTAATATTCTTTGCTATGAATTTAGAACGAGGCTTCTTCTTTCATAATCTTTTTGTTGCACATGGTAATAAGGTTAATGATCTGCCTCTACCATTAAAAAAATTGTTGTGTCCGAGTGAATATACCATGTTGTTCCATCTTTTACCAGGTTTGTTAGCTCCATCTTTTACCAGGCACTTTTTATTCGTATTACAGTTCCAGAAGTGGGTAAGGCGACATGGCAGTCGCTCGTCCTGGACTCGGATATCCCAGTTCTAGTTGACTTTTGGGCCCCATGGTGTGGTCCATGTCGAATGATTGAGCCACTTGTTATCAAATTGTCGAAGGTTTACGAAGGAAAGCTGAAGTGCTACAAGCTCAACACTGATGAAAACCCGGACATAGCCTCTCAATATGGGATTCGAAGCATTCCCACTATGATGATCTTCAAGAATGGTGAGAAGAAAGATGCTGTAATTGGGGCGGTGCCAGAAAGTACTTTGATCACATCTATCGAAAAGTTCATCTGAGTTTCGAGTGTATTCCTCCGACAAGGAGATGAACTTGTTTCAGTAATCTTTTTGAAGTTTGGGAAGGCCATTTATGTATGTAAATCAACATTGTCTTTGCCTTTAGCTATCTCCCAAGTGTACTGTGTATATTTTGTTGGAATTAGCAGTCCTTCTCATCCTTTTCATGTAATTGCAATGCCTACTGCTGATATTTGAGTCTTTGTGTGTGATATGGTTGTAGCTCTGACAAATTACTGCAAGATCAATGGATTTTGCTGCTCCCATATCTTCTTAAGACTTTGTGGTCTGGTGTTGGATAGGCACAGGAGGGAAATGATTAAACAGGATTATGTGTTGCAAATGGCAGAGGGCAATTCGAAAATCCATCATGTAGCAACATCAAGTTTTATTGAAAATGAACACCCCTAACATTAAGTTGAATGTGTTTGATAGGGCATACATACATATCTTGTTCTACAAATAAGAGGACGCATGCCATATTGTAACATAGATCCCTAACTAATGGAAAACATTCATTTTGATTAATAAATCACTTTGTGATGGAGGAATACATGTTATCATATCCTCAGACTCCTTATCATCGATTAAATCTTTCGCCATAAGAGAACAAAAACTACTCAATAGTAATTGAGTAAATCTATTTTTTATTTTTTTGATTATTTTAGATATTTTTAAGATATGTTTTTAGGTTGATTCAAACAAATGTAACGAAGTTCATTTATTAGTATCATTGATGTAGATGGTTGAAAACGTATAAATATAAAACAATTAATTCTCTGATAAAAAATATAAAATAAGTTAAATAGTCAATTAAAAAAATCAAAAAATTCATTGGATGTGAATGATTAATCAAGAGAGGATATAGGAGACGATAAAACGGTAAAAGAGATATTTATTTTGGTTATTTTATTTGTAAAGTTGATATTTATTTTGTAAAATAATAAAATAATAGAAAAGAGATCAAATAATTAATTAAAACTTATTTTGATGAAAAAAAATGAAACCTTAGACCTAATTCTTAAGATCTTTATCGACAAAATTAATTTAAACAGTGCCAGTTGTAAAGCGAAATTTTTACCGTTCTAAATAGATTCAAAGCTACCAAAATGCCCTTATCGAAACCTGAAATGTTAAGTTTACCATCAGTGGCTCTGCCTGATATGCTCTCTCAACCGTCCGATCCTTGCCTCCGAGGGTCAGTTTCGGAATAAGAGAAACGTCATTTGCATATGAGGAAGGCCGTCGTCGGTATCGCTCGTTTCAAATTCACAAAAATCCCGCTCCCTCTCTCTCGGCCTGCGCTTCTTTCCATTCGCCTACACGAAACCCTAAGCGAGAGAGTAGGAGAGAGGAAGAGAAACCCCTCGATCGATTGGCGTAGCAATGGCGACCAACATAGGGATGATGGATGCGGCTTACTTCGTCGGTCGGAACGAGATCCTGGCGTGGATCAACTCCACCCTACAACTCAATCTCTCGAAGGTCGAAGAGGTGAGTCATTTGTCGATCCTTTGTTGTTTATTTAGATCGGCTGAGACGGCGTCTTAATGAATCGTTTTGTGTTGGGGATCGATGGGTCCGGCTCTGGGCGAATTGGGGGCTCCCAGGCAGCGTCGGGGGCGGTGCAGTGTCAGCTGATGGACGCCGTCCACTCAGGGATCGTGCCGATGCACAAAGTCAACTTTGATGCCAAGAGCGAGTACGAGATGATCCAGAATTACAAGGTCCTTCAGGATGTCTTCAACAAACTCAAGATCACCAAGGTCTACCCTTCTTCTGTCTTTTGTTTTCTCCCTGTTCCTTTTCCTTTTCTTTGAGCTGAATGGCGAATTTTAATGCGTGCAATAAAAGGATTTCATTTTTGTGTAGTGCTTTCTTGATTTATCAGCCATTAGGGCTTGATATGTAGGAATCTCAAAGCTTCTTGAGAAATCTGTCAAAGGGACTAACAAAACTTGATTTGTGTCTTGTGTGGCTATATATATGTTGATGTGATTGCAAATATTGTGACGTTCACATATCAATGTCTTGCATTTGCACTAAGATGCTTTTTTGGTCCCTATTCTTTGATGATTAAGGGTGGTTTTTCATTTTGAATATGCTGATTATTTCGACCATGTCAATCTTTTGATGCTTGTGATTTTCTGTAACTGATGGAAACCTTTTCGAAATCACATTTGAAATTCATGGAACATGTGTTGAATATTTCCAATGAATGACCATAGGTGTAAAAACCTTTTTATTCGTGATGATTCCTCCATAATACATGTTTTAATAAACATGATCATGATTGATTTTGGCAAAATTAATCAAAGCAAAATCTATTTCCACACATCTTCTGCTATTCAAATTGGTAAATCCAATAGGTATTTGTTTTCCATGGACACATATTCAGGAATTATTTGTTCGAAATGACTATTTTTCCCTGAAATTAGTAAATCGAAAGCAATTTTGCAAAGATTTGCTTCCTTGCACTGTTTTTAACTTGTCAATCATAGTGTCTGGATGTCTGCTTATGCATGCTATTACGAGTTCTGAAGATGGCAATACAATGTAGTGATGGTTTGTCCGTAGACTAGAACACTTTAGGCAACCATATAAACGATCTTGTAGTTTGATTAACATGTAAGGAATACTGTTGATTTGACTGCCATATTATTCAGGATTCTAGCCGACCAATTTAGGATTACATATAGACTCTTAAAACATATACTGTATGCCTTCGTTTGCCCCTGGAAAAATCACGACCTCTGTCAAATCAAACCTGGACACAATATTTATTTGCCTATTTTCTGTCTCAAATGATAAATGGTGGTCTTAAAATATATCTGTGAATGAGCATTTCATTTCAACGCACACATGGAACTAGAGTTGTACTGCTGGCCATATGAATATATCTGTGATTCAGTACATGGAAGGAGATTAGCAGGTGGGAATGTTGGTTGATGCCACATGTACTACTTGTCATGCTGGGCCCACAATATGCATGGATGGTCTAACCAATATTTCATATAAAATGAGTTTTTGGTAGTGTTTTTCTATTTGCTCGTAGTTTCTATAAATGATGACAAATCTAATGATGGAAATATGAGATACATAAACTTAAATTTTGTGTAATTCCATTACATGGATTAAAATTTTAAGCCTTTCCGAATGAATCTGCCATTTGATGCATGCATACTTTTTTAGGTTTCACTCAATTGAAATTCTTCAATCTCTCTATTCTATTGAAATTCTTGAATCTCTCTATTCTATCGATCTAGAAATTTAGCAAATGGTGAATTACTTTCCCTGGACTATGCTTCTATGGTAGTCTATATCTTGCTGACAAGATTGAGGATTTGATAATGTACACTACATATATGATATTTTGTATATCATTAAAGAATTCTAAGATACTGGTCATATGCAATTAATTCTTTTTATAGAATTGTCATCATGTTTTGCTGAATGCGAGAAATTATGAATTATTCTGCCTAGCTTCTTCGAATCACAAGTCAACAAAGAGAGTTCCTTGGCATAATTGGCTAGAACAGATGTCTTGATGAAAGGTCATTCTCGTCAATAATTAACTATTCTTTTTTGGAATTCTGATGAATGTGTTATTTTTTTATCTTTCTATTGTCAGCACATTGAAGTTAACAAACTTGTGAAAGGAAGGCCCCTGGATAATTTGGAGTTCATGCAGTGGATGAAGAGATACTGTGATTCTGTTAATGGCGGTGTCTTGAACAAGTAACTTTTGCTCTTTTTTCTGCTTTCTTACTCAGTTTTATAACACTTTATTTTATTAAAAAAAGTTGTCTTTAGAATATTAATGTGCAATAAGCAAAGCAACAATTTAAATTTCTATTGATGAATGTAAAATATATGGATATCATTGTTTTCTTGGATAGTACGGACATCAGGTTCTTGGTTAATATAATCTCTCTTTGTTCATTGAAAAATCTGTTTTCATACAATCAATTGAACATTTGACACTGTTATTCCTCCGCCTGCAAGATCAATTATCATTTTTGCTTTCATTGTTGGAAGATAACTTTGTGAATATCTATCTTCTGTGATATTCTTTTCCAGTTATAACGCTCTGGAGAGAAGAGATTCTTGTAAAGGTGGAAAAGAAGCGAATAAGAGGGCAGCACCTTCTCAAACATCAGTCAGATCTTCGTCTGCTGTCCTTAAAACTCAAGCTTCACATACCACAAAAAAGAATGATGGGCATGCTGGAAATGCATCACATAAAGCCACAAAACCTGATACCTCTGTCTCTCAAGCATATGATGAAAAGGTAAGCTTGCTTGATGATGAAACTTTGTTTTCCAGGATAATTTGCCAAAGAACTAAGCTTAAACCTCTGAGGCAAAACGCAGATCACAGAGCTGAAGCTTTTTGTGGATAGTCTTGAAAAAGAAAGGGATTTCTACTTTGGTAAACTGAGGGACATCGAGATCTTGTGCCAGAACCCTGAGATTGAGCATCTACCTGTGAGTCAAACTTCTCTTTTTTGTGAGTGAGAACAAGTTTTATGCAGGGGATATGCTAATCAACGAAGGAACTTGGGTGAAGAAATATTTTGATTGCGTAATACGTCACTTTTATGCAGATTGTTGGTGCCATTCAGAAGATCCTGTATGCTACAGATGATAGCTCATCTGTTGTGGCAGAAGCACAAGCCATGATAGCGCAGCAACAGAGTGGATCGCCACCGCTCAGCCCAATCCTCGAGACATCTGAAGAAAAACCAAAACAGGAAACACAGAAGAGAAAGGATATCTGTACCCTCGAGTTCGACATGGCAGCCAATTCGACCTTGTCCCCAAGACAGAGGCTTTCCGACATCTCAGATGTGCACTGCTGTGGTTCACCGCTAACAAATTTCTGAAAACTTTTGAGTTGAGTCAGGTGCTTAAATAGCTCTCTTGCAAGCTGTTGTTTAGTTTCTCTTATGTGCTTCATTTTAAGTTATTTGTTTCCCTGACAATTTAATTCTTTTTTTCCAGTCAGGACTTCAGTACGGTGGAATGTTGCCACTGAATTGGAATTTCATATGTTACCCTGATGTGAAACTCGGTGCCAAATTAATCTGTCTACATCAACTACAAGCCTCGATGATTTAGGAGACTTATCGTGAGTTAAGGCCTCATGGATTAGGATGGAACCTTCAAGTATATGTACTCGCTTTATCATGCTGTTTCATGTTTTCTTCGGATATATGTCTGGATAAATTTTTAGCTATCGTGCTTTCATAATTTTGGGCATTCAAATACTTTGGATTAGATCAACTAGGAAAGGAATTAATGAATTGCCCATTCCTATGAAGATTATGTTCACGTACCTTTGGATCTTTTTCAAACTTTTTATTTATTCTTTTGTGTATATTATCTGTTTAATGTTTTCTCAAATCTGTTTAATTTTCTATTCACATTTTTTAAAAATAATTAGTTCTAACAAATCACGAGCATATGCATCCATTAGGATCACTATATTAATATATGAAATTTTCTTAAGAGTTATAGACGCAACCAGCAAAGCAATTTCACCTAAATGCAATACATAGGACACTGAATATTGAAATGAAACACCAAAATGCTCCAACAGTATAGCTTCACGTGTCGGGGAAGAATCTGATGCTACCACAGAAGACTTCTTCAAGAAGTACCACTCATTGATCATTTACTGCACAGTTTCTTCCACCTTTGTCCTCAGCCACTGTCCGCAAATGGCCATCAAGAAGTCACATTTCAAGCAGCATATCATGCAATTAGGCTTGGAGCATCGACCGAACAACAAGGAAGGAGAAGAAATCAAGGATCACATCGCCATCGTATAATAACAAGAACCCACAATGTGGTGTGGCCACTAAAATCATGGAACCAAAGAAGCTACTGCAAACACCAAATCCAAGTCTCTGACCGGCCTAAACACTAAACACTGAACAGAGTGTAGAAAGAGGAGCGGATCGGAGCAGATCTAGCGGTATGAGCTCATGCCCACGGCGGGAGCTTCGCCGTAGGGCGGCGCGCCGGAGCTGCGGGCCGCCTTTGCGTAGTACACGTAGTACAATTCGGAAAGGACGGCGGTGAAGAGGACGAAGGCGGCACCGGCGGCGAAGACGCCCTTGCGCACCGTCTCGCACGACAAGTTGCCGTCGAAGAACATGTTCCGGTAGCGGGTGTGGTGCGCGTTACGCACCGACCCGGCGAGCAAGCACGCCTCCGCTATGAGAAACGTCAGCCTGCAACATCCACCGCCGCAGATCCAGATCAAAGAACAAAAACTTGAGCTCATTGGAGATAATTGCAGGAGGAGATGCGTATGTACCAGGAGAAGAGGAATAGGAGGAGGGCGCAGGCGCGGGGGCCGCCGGGGCCGAGAGAGCGGCCGCAGCAGAAGCACTTGCTAACGGCCATGAGGATGGCCTGGCTTAGGAGGAGGAAGAGGAAGGCGCCGACGCCGTAGCCGGTGGCGATGTCGGAGTCGTAGACGCAGTGGTTGTAGGTTTTCTCCGAGTCGGGAACGACCGTAGCCTGAAACATCAGGCCAAATCAACTCAGATCGGGTTCAGGGGGAGACGGGGACGAGATCACGGGCTCACCTTGCTGCGGCGCTGCTCGGCGGCGACCGCAAGGCCGAAGGCTATCAGGTCGACCACGAAGACGAGGATGAGCACCAGCTTAGACGCCATGGTACGGGGTCGATGGTCTCTCTCTCCCCCTCTAGCCTTCTGGTGTCTTCTATGGGCGTCGGTGGGGTTGGGGGAGGTAGTAAAGGTCAATTAGAAGTGGCCTGAGCACTGGCAGAGACCCCGATGTTTGGAGTGTTGTTACTGTTATCATCGTGGTTGGTGCGGTCGTTATTTACCGCTGGTCTAAGAAAGTTGTGGACCCACCGGTTTTCTTTGATAAAAGTTCGCTACTCGTTCACTTTGTATCCATGCCACCGATCGTCTGATCTCGCCTCGGATCACCCAATGGGAAGGCAGGTAGGTTTGGGGAGGTAAAAGAGTATTTCTAACAAAAGGCTTTTGTGATGACAGCTGGAAACCAGGAGATTAATTAAAATACTTATAAAAAGGATCCTTTTTTTTTATATATACAAGTACACCACGACAAGGGAAAGCGGGAAAGATATCAGACTTGACTGTGAGGAGGAGCGGAACGGGAACGTAGAAATCAATCCATCTCGTTTCCTAACCCTTCTAATCTCATGTCTGTAGGCAGATCGAGAGAGCCATGAAGTTTAAGGCATTCCTCACCCAGGACGGCGTCAATCTCCTCGACAAGCGTACGCTTCTCTTCTCCCAGGCCGCGACGATCTCTGTTGCTCATTTCCGCAAACACCTTACATGCTCTTTGCTGTATATAACTATTGTAGGTTTTCTCCCTGCCCTCGACAAGCATGGACGCATTTGCCATGTATACTTGACTCCCGATCACGCCATGTTCCTCCACAACCTCCTCGGTGGCGACGGCGTGCAGTCCGTGGCGCAGTTCAACAAGGACGTCCTCTTCCGAGACTATCGAATCTCCAGCCAGAATGCCGGCCGCATCGCCTTCGCGGTCGATGTTGCCCTCCTACACCGCGCCCTCCGCAGCGCTCTCACCATCCAGGCTCAGGCCCGGGACGACACCGCGGCCATCCAGATCAAGCTCGTGAAGAAGCTCGCCGCGGGCTCGCGCGACCCCGCTCCGTTTCTCACGTTCGAGACCAAGGGGCGGGTCTCCGCTGTGGTGCAGGACGTGCCCATCTCCAAGCCCCTACCCCGGGACGACGTGCAGCAGCTCCAGTCCGCCTTGGAAGCTGCGCAGGACCTACCCCAGGTATCGGTTTTAGAATCAAGATCAGTTCTTTTGGCTTAAAATTGTGCCGGTTTTAAATGTAACCCGGCTATTTTGTGCAGAAGATGTAGAATTTAAGGAAGGGAAAGGAAGGAAAAGAAAAGAGAGCTAGAGTGGGTTAGAAGAGCTTCTCTTAATGTTGATTGCTTGTTCCATCTGCAACCAAAAAAAAAAATCTGTTTTTTAAAATAAAAATTGCATTTAGATTTGATGATTGGTGTCGTCGTGGTTTTCTGAAAGAAACTGTGTACTAGACTTCAGTTTTCTCGTTTATTTTCTAGGTTGATTAATTGGTTTTGATCGGTTTCTTTGACCTGGAATCGACTGCTTGCTTGCTAAATTGTTTATTTTGGATTTCGGTTCTCTGTTTTTTTTTCTTTTCTCTTCACAAAATATTTTATTAAACCAAAAAGTTTTCAGGTTGGTGTTTTCTACTCGATTAAGTTAGCTTAGCATGTCCACCTCATTCAAATTCTATCAATTGGCTGATCGCTTAGTTGCCATGTTTCTTCTTGTAGACTCTGGTTCAGGTCCAAGATCTTGCTCAGCTACAGAGCTTGGTGGACCGGCTGAGGAATGTTGGAGACCTTCTCACAGTTGCCATTACCCAGTACGGTGACCTTCATCTGCAGGTGTCCACCTCACTTATCACTGTTGGTTCTGAGTTCAGGAGGTTGAGAGTCCTTGGTGTGCGTGGTATATTGCTGCCTCCACCGCCTTTTATGTTACCAAAAGGATAGTTCAGTTCAAGAATAATCCTTTGTGATTCATTTCAGCTGATCCACCGATAGGTGATCGAACTTTAAGCGCTCCGACACGTACTGAGATGGCGATTCAGAAGGGCGAAGGAGCCTCGGTGGTCTGTAATCTATGAGAGATTTTGATTCTTTTTCCCTTTATTGGACTTTCTCTTGATTGGTTTTCTATATTCACGACAGCAAGTGAGCCTGAAGCATCTTGCAAAGAGCTTGCAGTGTCACTTGGCCAAGCCAGATTGCGCCTTCTACGGTAAGGGATGTTGGGTTGGTTATGATTTATCTTAATATGGTGTCCATCATATTGATTTTACAGAGTTCCTTATATGCAGGTATCGCTCCTCAGGGTGCTTGCTTGACCGTGATATTCCAGTTCTTCATTCCGGGGACACGACTGACAGATAAATCCATCAGCTTCTACTGCAGGCTTCCGGTCCTTGACCCAGGCTCCGGCCCTTGAGAAATGTAAAAGAATATTAAAATTTTACTGCAAAGTTCTTGAAAATAATTTAGGTACAATTACAATAAGAGTTGGCTACCAATATATCTGTTTATATACACTAAATCTTGTAATATCTGACAATTTGTCAAAAAGGTCTGGTACTTTTTATTTTTTGTTTCTCTTTTTATTACTGTTTTGCTCTAAATCTTGCAATATTGTCTTCGGATAACATTTTTTTTTTCCGTATACTCTTCTCTTTTTATTACTGTTTTACTCTAAATCTTGCAATATTGTCCTTGGATAACATGCATGTTTTGCTTGGATTTTGATGTCAACTTCATTTTAACTAGAAAATTCTTGAGTGATAAGTCAATAAATATTTCACTCGTGAAGTGATGACGAATTATGTTTGATGCGTTCGTGGAAGATAGGATTCTTCGTCATTGCAATAGTAGATTTATTGTCTTAGTAGATTTTAGTCCGTTTATCTTATTTTTCTTAGAGATATGTTAGAATTCTTTGGAGCCAAATTGTTTAACATGTTGTACTTATAGTGATAATATACTCTATCTCATATAGTAACACATTTTTACTTTTTTATTATCTATGAAATTACTTCTGAACCAAGGTTAAACATAAATATTGAAGTGTTTTTTCTATTGTTTGCACAATCAACCTAATCATTATTTATATAAGAATACAACTTAAAATCTTTTACCAACTGATAATCGATGTCATAATTGAGAGTTCTCTTGATGTATCTAAGAACTCTTTTAACTGCTCTAAAGTGATTCTAAAGTGATGCTTACTAAGACAATGCATGAATCTCGATAACAAATTAATTGTAAACATAATATCCGGTTTTGAATGTAAATGAAATAAATTAATCCTCTAATTAAGTTTTTATATTGTTTTTATCTGTTTTTTCAATTCCATTATTTAACATAAATTTATCATTTATATTTATTTGAAATTCATCGACTTACAAATCTTTTAAACAAATCTTAAGCATATTTTCTTGACTAATTTTTTTTTATTTATATTTAAAATCATTTTCATTGTTAGAAAATAATGTAAAAGTGCCAAATTAGTTATTTTATATTTTAATATTTTTTAGACTTCTGTTAATGTTAATATTGATATGATTCAAGAAAATAAAGACTCATCTATTGCTTGTTGTAACATGTAGAGAGCTCTTGCATCTTTCTATATGTTCTTATTCATTTGATCGTTTTAATCTTTAATATTATTGTGATTTTGTAGATCATACTTAACAAAATTATTTTTTACCAAATTCTATAATCCTTATGAAATAAATAGAGGTCTAATTTTAATGATCCAAAAAATAATTTTCACCTTTAAAGATAGAAAAAATTGATTGAAAATATTTACTCCAATATTTTTTTTTTTGATCTATTTATCTTTCCTTCCTTTTTAATCGACACACTCATGTTAATTTTTTTCGAACTAAGCTCTGATACCACACTTGTTGGATTTATGTAAAACTCGAAGAAGAAAGAAAAGAAAATAATAGAATGGTGTAAGAGTACTTCCAATCTCGGAGTACTTTAGATTCGTTCATAAGCACGTATTTATATTAGCGTATAATTTTTTCAAATAATAAAAAAATCAACATAATCTAACAAATCTCCTCACCCTTGTCTATTAATCTTAATCTAAATCTTTTTCTCTTATCCAATGTGTAATTAACTATTTAAATATGTCGGGAGTCGACGACCATGATTCATAGTGGAGAAGACAAGGGCTTTGATCCACGTGGTGCCAGACTTGGGGATGGTGGCGACGAGTACATCGATAGGTCGAGCTTTGAAGTATTTTTGGGGTGACCATGGTGCCTATTATGCTCATCAAAAACCCATACCAGCCGTTGTAGCAGTGGATTGGGTTGACAACGTTGGACTCTACACTTGGTAGTGCCCACACAAGATCACGGGTAGGTCTCATCCAGTAAATGTGTGCACGTCGTTTTGTGTCTTCGTGACCACATAAGCACGGCAACTAAGCTCTCCATTATTGTCAGTAACATGTAATGACCGAGAAGATGGACACCCAACTATTACAGTCCAAAAAAGGAAAGAAAACAACAGTACACAAGTCAGTGAAGCAGACATAAGTAGAAGTATAAATAGAAGTAATGAAACTCGTAACTATCTGATCTCTTGTTAGGACGATGCAATTATTGTCCTTAAAATCTTGTTTAGTATGGATATAAGTTGATAAGGACATTTATTTTTCTTTATGAACCATACCACCAAAGAACTACTGATCTGTTGCCGCAAGTCAGTAAAGCCGTAGGAGTCTACTTGTCACCCAAGTGATCCATTTGGGCTTCTGGGATAAGTCCATATTTTTTGGATTGAATCAGATCGTGTTGACTCTCGTCAACGACATATAAAAAATAATATTTTGATGTTAGAAGGATGACTTAAACCTCCGATATTATAGTTAATAGTCAAAATGTCTAGTAGGGTTGAGAAATCTCCTGATGCTGACTAATTGTGCAGGACCTTGATGCATCTAAGGAGCACCCTGAGGTGATGTAGAGCATCACCAAATAAGGCTAAAGCGCACATCGAGATGAATTTGAACTTCCTTTAGTAGACGAACCACACCTTGAAAGAGTCCACCGATCACCCAAGCAATCCGTTTGGGCTTTTAGGACAGATCCACGCTTTCGGGGCTAAACCAGGCCGTATTGACTCTTTGATTAATGGCATACAAAAAATAATTTTTTGGTGTTAGAAGGAAGGCCCTGGGCCCTTGGCTCCTCTACGGAAAGAAGCACTGATAAAGACATTTAATCTCATATTGAGTGAGGAGTATGAGAACCAAGGGCTCATAAGTCTGTCGGGTCACCCTTACCCTCAAAAGCGTCTTTTAGAGCTCACAAGCTCCAAAAGGGTAAAATCGTGCGAGTACACTCATCACCCAAAGCGGACAATTCATCGCAAGTCACACCAATGGTAAACCGACCAAATATTGACTTATCATAAATATTTATACTATTACATAATTGTTATTTTTGGTCCGTCGAATGCATCTTTTCGGTAAGAAAAATGTGACAAGAAAATGATGTTTATAATCCATTTTATTGAGAATAGATTTCAAAATTAAAAGTAAAATTTTAGAAATTAATAATAAAATATATTTATTAGAAATATTTTTTACACTTATGAGATCCTCGTGACTCAGAAGATAAATTTGCTTTTTTTCTCTAGGAATAATCATTCTTACGGAGGGGAGTTTCCAAATATTTTGGAACCCTTATTACCCCTAGAAGAGCGACTAAAACTCTGCTTTCTAGTATGATTCAACTTGTGCTAGATTGGATTGGTAGTTGACAGGAAAATTTTTATCATAGGCAAGTAGGATTGTATTAACTAATCGAACTCTATTTCTATTCAATTTTTGAGTGTCACTTGGATGCCGATTATAATTCTTGATGAAGTCGATTGGAAAGTTTCTTTGGGGTAGTGGTTAGTCCTCTTGTGGTTTACATCTTTTACCTTAGGAGATTGTCACTATTCCTAAGTGTGAGGGGAGATTAGGTATTATATCATAAGGTTTGCTTTGCAGGAGAGGAGAATCTTGTAATATTTGAACAAATATGATAGTTTATGGTCTGAGGTGGTAAGAGTTAAATATGAGAATGTCGACATATGAGACATTCATTTTTCTACTAAGAATGATCGGTCGTGGTGATTGTTTTTACCTGCTTTTGAAACGTTGCATGATAGATTTTCAATGGTTATGGGTAATAGTTCTTTAATTAACAACACAGTCTTGGATCCTTAGATTTTGGATGTGTCTATCTGTGTAAACCTGACTTTTTATAATGTTTCTAAATTGGAGAATTATTGTTTGGTTTTGGATTTTATTTGTAATGGATCTTGGGATGTTTATAATGTTTCTAAATCTGTGTGAACCTGACTTTTTATAAGCTTTTGCACTATTGTTTTTTCATTTCTAATAGAATTGCCAAGCTTGGTGTATATGATGATATTTGTAATCTTACACACAACAACAATACTTAAAGACTTGCTTGAAGCAATTAATCTTGCTATGGCTTCTTTGATTCCATCATTCTGCCGCTTCTTCTCTCTTCAATACAATCGTATTTGTGGAATCTCAAACACGCCATAAATGAAGCACTCATCGAGCACCTTAGATCTGGAAAAGATAAAAAAGAAGGAACAGAGGAGTATAACCGCTGCATGTAAACCTCACCAACGATTGCCTTTCCAGTAAACGAAGAAGAACGATGAAGAAATGTGTTGTTGTCTTGGAGGAGATCAAGAAGCAAAAAAAAGTTTGGAAATCAGAAAAGAAAATTGGCTTCATCGATCTTACACCTTCAGATCAGTCGGATTACACACATATATTATTCTTACGAGATATGTGCCTTAGAACATCAAACCAGAACCAGCAAATTTCTCCTCCGTCATCTTCTGCAATCGATCAGCCATCTCGGGCGTGAGATGATTCAGCCAATCCCCCACCACACCGCGTCTGAAGAAGGTGCTGTTGTCCACCGTCCAACGCCCGAAGTCCGTCGTGCCGCTCCTGTTCACCTTCAAATTGCTTAAGCTCTCCATGGCACACAACCGCACGATGCCATCGATCACCCCTTCCTTCTCCTCATCCTCCGAGAAGGGGAAGCCAAGGAACTCCGCCAGCCGCTTCAGCTGAGCTACTGTGTCCTGCAGCAGCTCCTCGTACTTCACGAATAGTATCTTCTTTGGCCTTTCCAAGTGCGCCTTCCAGTAACCGAGCACATGATCCCAAAACGGACCAAAGAAAGAGAAGCCCTTGCAGAAGTTGTCGAAGGCCTTCTCGAGCGGCCATGGCTCTAAGTTAGCCTTCGTCCTGTGCCGGTTTTTGTGGTGCCATAAGGATATGAAGTTGTCCTTGGGGTTGCGGCACAAGTACACGACTCTGCAGTCGGAGTCCACCACCGACGCCGGTAGGGAATGGAAGGGGATGTGTGTGCAGAAGAGTCGCGGGGGTGGCAGCTTGCTTAGGTCAGGTACTCGGTTGTTGGTGTAGATTTGGAGTTCAAGAAAGGGGATGCACTCGTGGGGATTGCAGGACTCCAAGGCATGTCGGGAGTCGACGTGGGAGCCGCGGTTTATGGTGCAGAAGACGAGAGCTTTCATCCATGTGGTGCCGGACTTGGGGATGGTGGCGATTAGTACGTCGGTGGGGCGAGCTCTGAAGTATTTTTGGGCGACCATGGTGCCTACGATGTTCGTCAGCAACCCGTACCAACCATTGTAGCAGTGGAATGGATCGACAAAACCGGACTCTAAGCTTGGTAGTGCCGCCACCAGATGTGTGAAGTGTTGATAGGTCAGGTGGCGGACTTCTTCCTTCTCGGCTTCTTCTGCGATCCTCGATGGAAAGCGGGATCCGAACGCATCGGCCATGGGAAAGCGGGACAAGGCAACTCAGGCTGATCTACCAATTGTCTAAATCTTAGTCAAACACACACACACATACATAAATAAATAAATATATATATATATAATTAAAATTTATTTTAATCTCTATGATTTTTGTCATGACGTAACCGTTGTGACGTAATAGTTATTTAGAGATTATTGTATGTAGGAAAAGTTAGATAGTGTAAACGAAATCTGGATTTGGACGTGGTCAGAAACGTCAGGTGTAAAATGTTTGAAGGCGAGTTTAGAATGGTGTGATAATACTTAGGTGCCTCCAAGACGTTGACATTTAAATTGTTGATGAGACAAGTTGGTTGGTTTTATAGTAGTTGAAGTTTGTGACCTAACCCTTGCCATTTAGTTTATGTTATCCCGTTTCGAAGTTTTGGTATTAGATAGCATAGTTGTTTATCATGCTTACATGTATTCTTATTTATTATTCTAAGCAGTTATTTGATTAATGACAGCACAACTCTAATGTGTATTTTCTAATTCTTCATAATGATGCGATCATATAATGATTTGCAGCTGGTTGGTCTACACTTTGTGAAATATTTATTATTATACTTTCACAATGATGATATCATAAGTACATGAGTCGATCTGGTTGTTCTATTATCGATGGTGCAGGATCATCCAAGTATTTTTTTTTGGTTGACCTGGAAGATTTGATGGGGCAAGACCGTACGGCTATTCGGTCGGAAGCTGTTTTGTTGGTGAGGATTCGATTCAGGATGATTGGGTAGGCGGACTGGGATTTTCTTGGTTGCAAGATCCCTTACTGGGGGTTGGGTCGTCTGGGTATTTTCAGGTGGTCGATGATCCAACATGACAGGCCAGTGTCGAGGGTTGCCCAGCATGGCCCCTCTAATGCTTAAGTCAATGAAGATGAGAAAACAACAATATAAACTCTATGTCTAAGTTAGCGTATAGAGAGTCTCCCCTTTACCATGAGTTGATTGGTTCCTTTTTATACATGATCCCAGAGTTTTCTTGCTAATTGGCCTGGGATAAGATTAGACTAATTACCTGATCATTATGATATCTAATCTTAATAAGATAAAGCAATTATTATGAGTACATCAGGACATACTATGATGTCATTTTGGGGCTAGTGACTTGGAGCCCTATTTAGGTGTCGGCCTTTATGATAGATGAGTTGGCATGGGGCAAAATCGTCCCTATCATTTGCCACCCTTAGAAAGGCATCTTTCAAGGCCTTTTTGTGGAGGGTGTACTTACGTGCTCTTTTGTTGGGTATGTGCCATGATGGAAGTCTACTAGCTGTGGTATCGGGATCGCATCGGTCTAGTCGAAGTATGGTCATGGGGTCTTCATACCAAGTAAACGAGTAGGAAATGTGTAAGCTCGACTTAGGTATTGAGAAATCTAGGAGCGACATCACATGCGTAGAAGAAGAACAGAAAACAAAATCCTCAAATTTTTCGAAAAAAGTGTTTGTCGTTGTTCGAATATTGGTGTGCAAAAACCCATAAAACTTAAATCCATGTGTGAAATAGTGTTTTTACCTAGGGAGATCATATATCCCTGAATTCTTACAGATCTATAGGATTAGATGAAGGAGTTCAAGTGCCCTCCTTTCTAGCGGTGATTCACACAATAGGGCTACGACAACGCTTTTCAAATCACTACCCAAATCTCCACACCTGCTATCTGAGGAAGAGAAGAGGAGAGAAGAATATGAGGTGGCAACCAGGAAGCCCTAGCCTATGGGCCTTTAGTTTGCTCCTATTTATAGAGGACCTTAGTTAACTTAACCCTAATGGATCCTGCCATATTGGATGCTAGATCTTCATCCAATTACCCAAGCCTATTAGATTAATGAGTCTCAAACCAATAATCTCTTATTAGCTCTTATTGGATTTCATCCATGGGATCTAATAATTCAGGGACTTATTAGATATCTAACAAGATAGGGGCTTCGATGGATATCTCATATCCGAACTTCTACTCGTCGCAATGCTTACCATATGTATGCGATCCTCTAGGCCTAATATTGAGCTGGTTGTGAGTCATATTTGTCAGAACTCCCTCTAGCTCAATGAATTATTATCTCTATAATAATTCACTCAACTCATCGACTACAGACATACTAGGCCATTACGCAGTAATCCCTAGACGATACAGGGGAATCCAATCTTTTGGATATATCTATCCTAGTTTATCATATACCTATAGTCTCTCATCCATCTAATTCCTAGAGATCGTATACCGGGCATGGTACTGTCAGGCCCATACAATTTCTCCTCGAGTCTCACGTTAATTGGATTCTCTTAGAGAACTCTTTCTCTCTCAATTCGAATGACTTTAGCCAAGGATTTCTCTGAGCAAAAATACACATGATATTTCTCTCATGATATCGAGAGTGGATAATCCTCTATCGACACTCAATAGCCCTCGTAAGGTTGGTTGTCACTCCTAATGACTAGTTGTACTAGATTTGAAACTTCTAAACCTATAAGTTTGGTATCAAAGAGTGGAGTACTCATATAGGACATTTTTGGTGTCTCAAGTCTAAGGATCAAGTATATTATTGGGATGACAAATCGCTATCTAACAATGAGGTATCATCAACCATCTAGCATCCGTAAAAGGATCAATTAGTAAACTCATTCTCCAATAAGTACCTGCACTATATCCCCAGTGTCTCCACACGTGTAGCTATGAGACCAACCGCCTCCATCATATGGACGGGTATACAATACACCAGTCTGTCCGATTATCTTGATGTCCCTCTCGAGTAACCTATGACTAGGATTATTTAGGGTCTATGTTTAAAGGTGAATTAATCTCATTATCGTGATCTCATCACGATCCAATTTCCATTGCATAGATCCATGAACATCATTATATATATATATATATATATATATATATATATATATATA